GAAAAAAGACAAAAATCTTTAATTGTTTTAATGATGATGAGATATTTACAAAACTACGGACCGGAGCTGCTTGCGGTGGGAACGAACTCGCTATTGTCCTTCCCGGGGAGTAACGCGTTCACCACCACACCATGCGGGTCCTTCGTTTCGCCTCTCTCTGAGCCAGTTCTATCGAACTTTTTGCCATCAGCAATCACATTTAATAGTTTGTTCACCGACATGGTAGTTAGATCGATGATTTCGAACATTTGTGTTTGAAGCCTCTGCTTCTGAAAAGTTTGAAAACTTTTTAGTTAATTCAACAGCATGTTAGACTAGCTAGTGCCATTATTGTTATTGTGTTAGTATGACTACTACTAATTAGTTGTATTCATTAATACCGTTGTTCTTATTATTGTATTGACTTCTATCATCCTTCAGTATTCACGGTGTAGATGAGCTTAAGAAGCCGGATTAATTATCACAATATTTGCAATGATTCACAAGTTTGTTTTTGTAGAGACCAACGATTTAGTAAATCGAAACGAGAAAAATAGTAGCACGATGACCAACATTTAGAATAATATAGTGTTAGTATGTAGATTTACACCTTGTTGGAGAAAATTTGTAGCTTCCAGCGATTTTATACTGAGATTTTAAAGTTGAAAGTTCGGAGGAGCAATTTGAAGAGTGGCAGTGATACCGGTCATTGCATGGACGGTCCATCTTATCCTAGTTGAAGTTTGATCGCAGAACAGACCTATCTACTTTTACATCTCTCTAGGACAAAGGAATTGGTACCAGACGTTTATTGGATAACCCTGTTCGCTCCAATCTAGGTGGGAATGTCCTAGGTCGGCTATATCAGGAGTACAGAGAGAACTGACTCGTACAGTCTACAACGATATTCGTGACGAAGGCAAAAAAATGCTTTCCTAGTAACCGAACCTATTCACAAGGAAAAAAGTTCGAAGGCTTCTGTAGACACAACTTGATACGAGTGTTGTGGAGTCACGTGATAATAGTAGTAAATAAAGTTCGCTATTAGCTGATGCGTTTCGGTTTAAAGTTGTAAAACGTTAATATGTGCGACGAAAGATCCGGATGGTGTGGTGGTGAAGTGCGCTGCTCCCCGGTAAGGACAACAGCGCGTGTTCGTTCCCCACTGCATACACCTGCGGTCCGGAGTTTTGCAAATATCTCAGCATTTCATACGAGTTATATTTCGCTAAATACCCTGCCATTAAGAAGAAAAAGGCAGTAAATAAAGGGGATAATATGTGTGTTTGCATTCTATAGACAGTATGTGATTCGTGCCGGCGTCGTTGCGTTGAGAAAAGGAGTAACCGTTAGAGGTCACACAAAAAAGGTGGGACGAATGGATCCCATTAATTGCAAGAGACCATTGCTTTTTGTACCCTATACATCATGTATGATTCTCGTCAGCGTCCTTGTGTTCGAGAAAGGGGGTTACTGTTAGAGGTCATATCGAAAAATTAAAGGAATGCTTGCTATTAATTGAACTTTCGAACTTGAACTATTAATCTATTAATTCTTCCGATTCTCTGCAACCTCACAGAAGAGCATTGACATTTGGGCGTTATAGCGTTTCATTAGATCTCTAAATAAAAGCAAAGGATTTTGTTCCAAAATCAATGCTTCAATCGAATTAATGACTGTTTGGCAGGGTGAAATGAGAGACAACAAACGGATGTGAAGAAGAGGACATAATGATTTGTGTCGCATCTTATACTAATTCTATAGGTATTAGGTCTCTTTCTAGAATATCAGTCACACATACTATGCGGAAGTAAAGTCCAGGGTCATTATCGAGGAGCTCTACCTCTTCACAATGTCGAAGAAGTTTTGACGCTTTTTCAAAATGTTTTCAGACGTTACATTTCTGGAGAAAACGGTTTTTCACTCACAAATGAAGTCACTCGTTTCGGAATTCCTCTTAGTGAACAGGTGACCGGGATCCTGTTTTAAACAGAGAGAGGTTTCTAAAAAATATCAAAATAGTAGTATCTTTTTCCTCCCAACGGCTTACCGCCTCATCGTGGCTAGGAGGTTTTCTTGGGTGTCGGACTGCGATGTTCAGCGGGGGATTCGCCCTCCCCCTCCTCCTCTCCCCGGCAGGGTCTCCCAAGCTGAGGAGTCTGGCGTTTCTATCAGGAAGCCTGGCTAAGAGTATATCAATCCCAGGATCCACCACCGTCCCGGTATCAAAGCCGAATGGTGGCAAATCTCCCTCCGATCCACAAGGGGTGCGACTACCTGTGGTGGTGACGACAGAAGGCCGACTTTAGCCAGGCTGACCTCGGGATTCCAAGGAACCACAATAGCTTAAGCAGCAAATCTCCGATAAATGGTGATTATGCTGGGTCCCGCACAACCAGTGAGGACGGGCCGTTCAAGTGTCAAGTGTCAAGTGTGTCTTTGCACAATTGGTGCAGTGGATAATACGTGAGTCCTGAAAAGGATATAGATAACAATAGGTAGTAAATGAAAAGTAAACACTATATCCTTTCAGTTTTATACACACATATCCCATGTCATCGCAGAACGTCTTGACCGAAATAAAGAACTATTGAAATCTAAGCATCTTTACTAAAGAGGTAAATTCTCGTTTATTCAACCAGAGCCAGTTGGTAGACTTTCGGAGCACAGAAACCAGTCTCCTTTTCCATTTGATTGTCGAGGTTTGCATTTAGAAAGGGAAGTTGTTCAACAAGCTAGGCCGAGTTCACTGCAACATAATGTTCTCTTCACACACGCTGATTTTGGCTGTTCGGTTTGCTGAAAGTCGGTGCTTGTTTTAAAACTGCCCACTTAGGCTTTTTAAAGTCATAAAAATTTTAAAATTAGTTGCTAGAAATACAGAGTTTATCTACACATTCATTTATTTACATGACCCATATTTCCACTATTTACACATCGTGTGGAACCGAGCACTCGCTTCATTCTGCTTCTTGTCCCTTTTTCCTCATGCGCGTAGATTTTCAAACACGCTAGTGCATTCGGCTGCAACCTTAGAAGCAACACCTATTCATCGAAGTTATTCAATTGTGGTAGAGTCGGTTCTGTGTGAAATTGCCGATGAACCCACTAGGATGTTCTCAGGTCTCTACCATATGCACGCGCCGGAGTATGTGTATCGAAGGGAGAGATAGCTTTCGGTAGTCCTTTTTATTTTGAGCTCCATTCATGTCTTGCCTTAATCAAATATCATTAGACAATTTGTTCTGTTGGAAGAATTTACTGAAGTATCACAATCTTAACCGCTTTTATTTGCTGCCTGCTCTTTTTGATGGCAGGGTATATTGCGAAATATAACTTCAGTGATACTGAGATTTTGCAAAACTCCGGACCGCAGGTGTCTGCGGCGGGAAACGAACGCGCTATTGTCCTTTCCTGAGAGTAACGCTTTCACCACCACACCATGGCGGTCCTTCGTTTCGCCTTTCTCTCAGCTAGTTCTATCGATCGCTGCCATCAGCAGTCACCCTGAATTTCTGAAGTATCCATTAACAACAAACATGAGCATAGTTCCTGGATCGCGAGAATATCTGAAATGTACGATAAACGATTATCCTAAATTTCAATACCACCCATCACCTCTCGCAGCTTAGTCGGATATTCGCAGTTCTCCAAAAGGAGTGCTGAAGATCTCTAAATTTTTAAGATTCAAGAGAAGTTCTCGATTCCTACCTTTTCGTTTAGTAATAATATATCACTAATTGACCGAAAGCGGTCATCAATTTCGCATGATCAGACTCTCATGCACGTCACGCAAGGTTGGGGTGTTAAAGAAAACCAAACCTCCTTTCATCCTTGATAACTTAAGAACTACTTATTTGAGTTATTTTCGTTTCTAAAAAGGCTGAATAGGCGAACGAATACTCTAACACATTAAAATTTCATTCTATGGCACTTGCAGAAAAAACTGTTTTAAACCTCACTTTGTGCATTTTTCAAATGACATCGTATGGAGATAACTCGGAGTAATCAAACTCTCCAGACTTAATGACGAATTTGTAACAGCTTTATTTGAGAAGAAGAGCAGTGGCATGTTGAAACTTTCCCGATTCCTAATTTTTCAATAAATCAAAAGACCGATTTTCTATAAACCTCGGCATAAATAATTGACATAGTTATTTATACGATCTTATAAACTGATGGGACTCCACTCGTACTTTCTTAGGAAGGCAAAATCGCCGAAACGTCAGCCATCGCGAACAACGCCAACAACAACAACAAAACAATAACAACAACAACAACGATAACAACAACGAAGGAAACAAATCTCGCATCGGCTTAGAAAGATCGGTTTACAAGATCGTATAAATAAATATATCTTAATTTTTCCTCTCGAAGAATTTTCCATGAGCATTTATCAAAAAGTTTGTTGATGGGTGAAGGATATGGTATGGCGTGCTAGTGAAAGTATTTAATGGTGTAGGCTTTACTATTAAAAATATGCACTACGTTGCCGTAAGATTGTTATATAGTTTTCCAGTGGTCAGTGAACTAGTTGCAGAATTTACGACAGTCAAAGAAATCGTTTCCATTCTAGCAAATTCCAAAGTGCAAGGCAACATTTGTTTCACCCAACCGCAAAGTGGCAGCATGGCTTTGCTGACAAACTGAGAACACCATTGCACGACTATCTCGGAATTCTACAGCACTTTCTAGAGAGCCTGAGTTAACAAGCCTCGAATATGGGAACGTGATTTGGTGAAATCGAGACGATAAAGCGTCCATGCGACAGATGTTGGTGTATTCCTTAACGTGTATTATCGGCTATTGTGTAATCCATCGTTCCGTGCGTTCTCAGCTCGAATTTTTATGGATGTCGATTTGGCGTTTTCGCTCGTCGCTCCGCCTATGTGGAAACAAATCATCTATTCTGCTTTCCAGCTGCTTTTATTTTCGTTCTATGCATTCATGGGATTAGGAACTATACCATATCTGGTAGTAATCAAAGGTAAGTTTTCTTCGTATGACGTTTTCTACTCTTTAGCAAACTTTGCACTGATGTACATTGGTCCCAATGCATACCCGTCAAGAGACATTTCTGTATTTCATTTTCAAACTAGCATATTATAACTCAATGTAAAATATATGGATTGAAGTAAAGCTACTAGGGTCTAAAAATCTTTGCCAACAAGATGGAAATCTCATTTTTTCATGATGATGAGCTCTTAGGCTTGTGGAGCTCATGAGTGGTCTTTTTTCGTCGAGCTTCACGTTTTAAGCAGTGAAGTTGCAGAACGATCGGGATTTCGTCTAATAGGACGGTTATATCCACGAATGCAGTGTTGATGTTGGCAGTTTTCTTGCTTCTGTTAGAATACCCAGAGATTTGAATTTGTTTAACAATTTTTGAAATATTAGAAGTGGAAAACTGAGCACTGAATAAGTTTGGTTGTCGAAGTTGCCGTGAAATTATCGGTGATCGTCGAAAAAGCCAGCCACGTCGTCATTGTATTAATGAGCACCAAAATACTAGAACTGAAGCTGAATAGTCTTTAAAACCATTATTTATTCAGTATCACTTATCAGTTTTCTCTTGTCTACGCCATCATCGAAAATTGATGATATGAAACGTATCGCGATGACAGAAGAACAGTACAGAAAAGTTGAACAGCTGCACTATGGATGGTACGTGCAAGCGGTTAGAGCCCTACTTGGAGCTGTCGGGAAGGAGCTCTATATGAAAATGGACCGGTGAGCACCAATATTCTTTTGCCAGTGGCAATATAAGCACTTCTTTTATCTCCTGGCTAGTATTTAATAACAATGATTGACACTCTGTAGAATAGTTCCCAAGATCGACTTTCTCTTAACCTCGGCATTGGAATAAGAATGTGTCGTTTTCTTGCTCAGCAATCGCGAGGTTTTTAAACAGCATACATTTACTTCCATAAAGAAAACACAATACAATACAACACTAGCTGACGTTTCGGCAGTATCGCCTTCTTCAGAGCCTGGAAGGGTATACTGATATACAAT